AGGATCCCCATGCCCTTCAGGACATATTGCAGATATGGCCAATTTGACCTGGATGAGGCTGTGGAGTAGGACTGCACCTCCCAATGTCTGATAGCTGACAAGTACAGAGAGATAGACTGGGGAGCTAAACCCTGTTGAGCCAGGAATGCTGCGAACAAACAGAGTGTAGCCTGAGAAATGGGGTAGGGGGAGAGGCCAGCCAGCTGGCAAAAGCTAAAAAACCTGTTTTTAGCGGAGGCATAGGATCTGTTTGTGGAGGCAGCTAGACCCTGTTCAAAGAATCTCTGAACTTCCAGACCCAAGTGGGCGAGGTCCAATGCAGGTTGCTGTCCAATAGCAGTGACACAATTTGAGGGGGGATTGTTGTTGGAGCTGCCTTGGCCTGGGGAGTTAGAGAGAGAAATAATGAGACATTGTCACGGGACAGCGCATCCGCTGCCGAATTGCGCTTTCCCGCCAGATGTTCTGCCGAATATTCAAAATTGTATCTGGCCTCCCAAAAGAAGAGGCACTTGATGAGATGCGACATAATGGGATGACGAGCTGAACGAGCTGACAGAGCTGCCACTACTGCCATGTTATCTGATAAGAATTTGACACGCTGGCCAGACCAATGTTGACCCCATACTGCTGATGCTATGACAATAAGCAGCATTTCCTTTGCAGCAATGTTCACCTCCTTCCATGAGGAAGGCCAAGTGAGCTGGAACCATTCCCCCTGGGGTTGGGAGAAAGCCCCACAACCCCAGGAGCCAGAAGCATCACTAGCAACCATAATAGTAGGGTGGGCAGGGGGGAGGATAGATACCCCATTCCAGTCTGCAACAAAAAGACTCCACCACGAGATGTCTGCCTTGCAGGACACATCTAACCTGGTACGCTGGTGGGGTAAGCGGGGACGCTTCATTGCTCTGATGATGGCACTAACAAAGGACCTGCCTGGGCGTACAACTGCAGCTGCATGGTTCAAGTGCCCTAAGAGCTCTTGCAGCTGAAGCTTTGATGCTGAGTTCCACCGGCAGCAGGAACTCAGGAGTTTCTTATTTCTTACTCAGGAGGTAGCATAGCTTTCATCATCACAACTTCCTTTCTCACCACACCTCCCCTCACTCCACCCACTCCTCATCCTTACCTACACAACATCACATGACTATCATCAAAAGTCACATGATCTCTCGCTTGTATGGTGACGAGGGGATCTTGAGGGACGAGGGAGAGGTTGGCCATCACATGTGGTCTCCTGGTTCTTCAATACAAGAGATACTAGAGGACCAATACTGTTCCTTTCCGGAGGATGTCAGCTCTCATTCATTTAATTAAGAGGAGAACATCAAAGAGAAGATAATGAAGAGACTCAAACCTTCCTAACATATAGGAGAGACTATAATAGAAAGAGAGGGAGGGAGAGATATACATAGAGAAAGAAAAGAAGGAAAGGAATAGAATGAGGGGGAGGAGGGAAAAGGAGGGAAGAAAAATAGAAATAAGAAAGGGAAGAAAGAAAAGAAACAAGTAAAGAAATGAGAAAATGGAGAGAAAAATACATATGTACATGGTGATAGGAAATGTTTCCTGGTTTTTCTATCACTTTTCCTTATAATTGTGTGTGCCACTGCTTAGGTACAGTTTTCATGGATTAGTAAAGTGTACGAATCAAGTTAGCAAATTAATAAGATAACTACAATGAAGCAGCTAAAAGAAAGAAAAACAAAAAGCATGCAGTACATGTACATGTATCATTAACTGAAAATGACTATAAATACACATGTACATGTACATGTATCAATTAATGGACAATGTTATGAAGACAAATTGAGGTAATACTGTCCATGCAGTATAGCTAATAGGAGGAGCACATGAAATAAAAGCTGAGATCCCTCCCTCTCTCTCTTACTCCTCATTATTTCAAGTTTTCTCATTCAATCTATTCTCTCATTAACATTATTCTGATACACATGTACATGTACATACATGTATAATGGTACAGTACATGTACATGCATCCATTTCCGTTAGTGTATGAATCTGTTTCAATTCCATATTAGGACTTACATGTACATGTATCCTTTTCACAGACCATGAGACGGACATGATGGTATTACAATCATCATCAAGAACACATCATTTTATAACTGGAGAGAGAGAGAGAGAGAGAGAAAGAGAGAGAGAGAGAGAGAGAGAGAGAGAGAGAAAGAAGGAAACAGAGGTTGAACAAAGCACAAAATGAACCACTCACGAAAATAAACTGTCTAAATTTGTTGTTATAGTCAGTAGAGTGTAGTCCAAATCT